AAGCCCAGCAGAGGGCGCCTCCTCCACAGCCACACTTCCAAAGCTTTCTCTCTAGAGGCCACTGGGGAGCCTCAGAGAAGCATAGTGATGTGGACGGGGTGTGTCTCACGGGAGCCCAAAGCACGTGGATTCCGTTATCTTTGGCCTTCTCCTAAGGGTGCCCCCTTTGCTGAATCCCAGGGGACCCACCAACATGAGAACTCTTCCATCCTGCTATGGATGGGGAAACTGAGACTAGGGGATGCAAGAGACTCTGCCAGGAGGGAGCCAGATGTCCTAGAGATCGCAGCTTTCACATGTGCCTGCCCCCCAGCTTCAGGATATTATACCCCGGATTTCAGAGAGCCTAATAAGGTTCATATTTGAAGCCTTCCAGAACCTTGGCTCAGTTCCTTCAGCTGTTTCCTGGGGAGAATGTGTGTGTGTATGTATGTGTCTGTGTGTCTGTGTGTGTGTTAGGGGTGGACAATGGCGGCCCACGGACCTACTGCAGTTACTTGTGCTGAGTGGGACAGGACTCAACCAAGAACAGCATCCCAAGGGAGGAGAACCTGGGCTAGTGTTGGGAAGACACCTGCCTCTGGAAGCCAAGAGTGAGCACACAGTGGCAGGCATACCTGTCTCTGCCAGCCCAGCGAGCTACCTGCCCTCTGGAAGACTTGCCTCCCAACCCCATTCCTTGCCCCATGTCCATGAAGGGGCCCACTCAGAACCCTCAACCACATTAAAGGGCTGCGACCCTAGCCTAGGTTCCCATTGTTTGGGAGGGGACCTGTCCAGGGCCACAGTGTCAGCAGCTTCTAGCCTAGTCTTCTAGCTGCCTTTGGACTCCAGGAGAGTAGCCATGTGGCTGAGGATCATGAAGTCAGGAAACCTGCTTCCCCATGTGCTCAGCTACTGAGGAGTCATTTTGTCCCCTCAGAGCCCATTTTCTCCCCTTCACATCGGTAGGCATAAAAAGGCAGTAAGAACCAGGCAGTGGTGGCCCACGCCTTGAATTCCAGCACTCTGGAGGCAGAGGCAGGTGGATCTCTGTGAGTTTGAGGCCAGCCTGGTCTACATAGTGAGTTCCAGGACAGCCAGGGCTATTACACAGAGAAACCCTGTCTCAAAAAAAAACAAACACCACCACAAAAGTAGTATAAGAGACCAGAAACTACAGGGCATTGACCATGGTGTAGCCAAGCAGGACTTGGCCTCCTCCTTAAAATCTCATTTAACTACACAACAGCCCTCATGTGAATTGTGTTTCATTCCCCACGTAGAAACGATAAACCAAGACTCAGAGAGATCAGCTAATAGGCACAGGGCTGTAGCAACAGCCTCTAGTGCCTCGCCTTCCTATCCCGTTCTACATGAGGTCTGGCTGTGTTGCCCAAGCTAGTCCGAAGTGATCGTCTTGCCTCAGTCTCCCAAGTACTTGATAGTATAGGGCTGCACACTAGTCCCAGCTGACTCCACCACGTAGCCCAGGCTGACCTGATCTCAATAACTAGTCCAGACTGGTCTTGAACACTTGGCGATCGGCCCGCCCTAGCCTCATGGGTATGTGCCCAGTAGCTTTCTGGCCCTCGGGAAGGTAAATGAGGTCCTGTTGTTCATCCCTCCTCCACCTCCCCGTTCTGTCCCTGTCACCGTGGGACTGGTTCACCCTCTTTGGTCGCTAAGCCCTCTCTGTGCTGGGCTCTGCTGGGCCTGGAGAATGGGGGAAGAAGACAGGCCCCTGGGACCAAGAGGGACACATGAGGAGTGAATGGAAGTGAAAATGGACCAGGCCCGCTCACACAGACACACACAAACACTCTCACATGAAGGTCTGGGTTGTGGGAGGCAGAGGCAGCTGCCTTTATTGAGGCCTACGGGCGGGCTGGCTTCACTCAAAGGACACACACTTGATCTTGAAGTCGCCATCCGCCGCCATGTAGTTGATGGCCTCCATGTTGAGGCGGGTTGGGGAACTTGAACTCATGTCCATCGGGCAGCTTGATGGTCAGGTCGGCCTGGTCAAAGGTGACGCACACCTGGTGGGCGGAGAAGGGCAGTGAGCGACACCCTGGAGTGCGGCTCAGAGCCCGGGCGACAGCAGCTCCCACACGGGTGAGTCCCATCAGGTTCAGGGCGGCACGACGCTGGTAATCACACAGCCAGGAAGGGGCAGCCAGTCTCTGAACACTGAAGCCATCACGGTCCCGCCCACCCAGGGCCCGGTCCCGCCCACCCAGGACCCGGTCCCGCCCACCCAGGGCCCGGCCCAGCCCCGGTCCTGCCCACCCAGGACCCGGTCCTGCCCACCTCCACGGTGCTCCCAGGCTGGAAGGGGGAAGGCAGGCTCCCGCTGCTCAGGCCCCCAGGCTCCGCCATCCTTGCTGTTGCACACGATAGTGTTCGAGTCCCCGTGGGCGTTGAAGCGGGGGTTGAAGTGCAGGCACAGGTTGTCGCTGTCTTTCCCCAGGTTCAGCACAAAGCTAGGGAGTGACAGGCAGGCTTGAGGCCATGCTGGCTAGCTCGAGACCCAAAGCTCACCGAGAAAATGCAACATCAGCCGCTGGCCATTCATGCACCTTGTTCAAACCCGGTCAACAGGAAGACCAGGAACCTGGATTCTCATTCTGGCCTCTCTGTGTGAGTTGAGTTAGACCCCGCCATTCCTCTCTGAGCCACGGTTTCTTTCCTGTCTGTGCAATGGAGGGCTGCCCTGAAGGGATCTCTCTCCCAGATATTAATTGGGGTCAGCCCCTTCAGTCAAGCGGGGGAGACCTTCCAGATACTGTCCTGTCTTGTGTACCCGAGTCCCTGGTGCCCAGCACAGACCAGGACACGCCGCAGATGCTCCATCATTGTGGAATAAAAATGCAAAAATAATAATCTCGGATTTGATTTGTTGCATGGGGCCTGGTTAGCAGTACTTGCCACCGAGGTCTCTGGTAGGAAGAAAGAAAAAAGAGGGCCCAGGCGCTCAGCCAGCTGCCTTGATAAATCTGGCCCCTGGCTTTCTCCACACCACAACTTTCCCTCTGGCTTTATTAGGAAACCCAGGCTCTTCCGGGTGGGGCGTGTGGAGGTGCACGCTTTCAGTCCCTGCACTCGGGAGGCAGAAACCTGTGGGTCTCCTTGGAGGCTAACCTGGTAGTCATGGTAAGTTCCGTGCTAGCCAGGGCTACAGAGTGAGACCCTGAGACCCTGCCTTCCCAGAAGAAAAGAAAAAAAAAAAAAGTCTTTCGTAGACTTCCCGAGCTTGAGTGACTGGTCTAAGGTCACATGGCTGCTGAGAAAATAGGCATGGGACTGAGAGGGAAGCATTGAAAGAAAAAGACTGAGCCCATTACCCCCCCCCCTACCCCCCGCCCCGCGCGCAGGCAGCAGGCACGTGGGTGACCCCTCCCTTGCTGCACACCCCCCCCCCCTTACACACCCCAGGCGGAAGGGGAGGGGACAAGCCAGGGTAGCTCTTGAGGCAGCAGCTGGTTTAGTTTAAGAAACTCCATCCCGGAGAGAGGGGGCGGGAGGGAAGGGGCGACCACGGTGAGGTGGACCAGACCCAGCGAGGAAGTGACTCACCCAGAAAACGCAGCATCTGCAGCTGGCCATTAACCCCCGGCGGGCTGGGGAGAAGCGGCTCTGGCCGGCCACGCCCATCCCCAGCCTCAGGACCCCATGGCCTGCGAACCCCGCCTCTGCCACCGCCACCCCCCAGCCCCGCTCCATTCTCACCTCTTGGCGTCGGGGGCCACCTCGCCCCGAACTCTGAGACACTCCCCAGGTTTGAGATTCAGGTTGCTTGCGACCAGACCCTGCGGAGACAAGACCACCTAGCTGCAGTTAGGGCCCAGTTAGGACATGGCCGGAGCTACCAGCAGTGGCCTGGGGTGTGTGTGTGGGCATGCGGTCATTCCCACCCTGGGTATCCTGACCAGCCCTAGGGGAAGCCTAGAGGGTGGGGTGGGGTGGGGCGGACAGGACAAGGTGTAAGTTCTAGTCTGGATTGTCCCTGTGGTTAGGGACAGTCTCCACTCCCAGAAGGGCCTGCTAATTTGAAACTTAGGGCTGTCCTACAGGACAGAGCCTAGAAGATTCACCGTGGTCAGCTTGGAGAATTTTTTTTTACTTGGAGTGGAGGGGAAGATGGAGTGTGGACCTCCAAAGTCCTCATTCAGCTGAATAGAAATGTCGGTGGCTCCTCCGGGAGAGAGAAAGCAGCCTGGGGCCTCTCCAATTCCCCTCAGGGCTCTCTTCTCTGCCCAGAGGGCACACAGACTGGGGTGCAGAAGCCGAGGGGCAGGGCCCGCCCCGCAGGAGTGCAGTATCATGGATTTAGCAAGCTAGGGGAGAGCCCAGCAGATATCTGGGCACTGGGTGGGTTGACAGGAGTTCATTTGTGCGAGGGGTTTCTCTGACATTTGAACCCTGTCCCTAAAGGTTAGTCACAGCCTGGGTGTCTGTTTGTGCAAAGGCACGCAGTTCTCTCGGCCCCCACCTAACCAGCAACCACGAGGAGCCCCAGCCTGGCCTGCGGCTTATCTAGGGCCCGGGAGGTTTTTAAGTTTTTCTGGAGCAGAGGGTGATCTACTGGGCCCTGGTTCTGTGACTGGGGACAGCTGCAGCGGGGGAGGGGTCAGGGGCCTCGAGAGGAGAGGAGAGGGAAGCAATAAGCGAGGGGCCTTGGCCAAAATGTCCCCCTGCCCCCCCCTTTCTCCTCCCCAGGCCACACCCTTCCCACTCCCACTTCTCAGAAAACTACAAAGTGGCAGAATATGGGACCTTGCTGCGGGAACTCGAAGAAATCCAGAACACTCTTAAGCCAGAGAGGCGCAAGGCTTTAGGGGGGACTACGACACCCACCCCCATTTTACAGATGTGGCTACTGAGGATCCGAGAAAGCACCTGCCCAAGGCCGCACAGCTGGGACTAGAAGCAGCTCCCAAACTGGCCACTTTCCTATGCCCATCTGCTTCTGCTCGATCCCCTAGACCTTGGAGTAGAGGGTCTCGCACTCACACAGGCCATGACTGAAGCCAAGCGAAGGTTCCTGCGACCTGCTGCACCAGCTGTCTGCAGACTCCACCCGAGTGACCCGGCCCCAAGCCCTCCACGACCCTTTTAACTGGACCAGACCCGGTGAGTCCCGCCCCTCCGGTGGGCTAAGCCAATTGCATGTCAGGACAGGGGTGGGGGGGCGGTACCAGAGGCGGAGTTAATGGATTATAAAGCCAGTTTTAGAGCCGAGGTGACCAATCCGCGAGCGCCTCCCCTTGGCCCCGCCCACAGGGTCCAAGCGCCGCCCCTTATTCTTCCCCATCCCTCTCCTCCCACCAAAAAAAGATTTGTGCTGTGGCAGAGATTGGGGGAGCCAGTGGAAAATAGTTTGGGGATGAGTTAGGCTCAAGAGTTGGCGGGAAGGGGCCGGGGGGGGGGGGGGCAGCAGGCAGAGAGCCCCCGGGGCCCAGCGCAGCTGGTGGGGGTATGTGTGAGGAGATGCCTGCACAGAGTTAGAGCAGGGCTCCTCGAAGAGGCTGCAGCCTGGCAGACCAGGGTGTGGCTCCGGCTGGGCCTCTGGCTGTGGAAGGCTGAGCAGGACCACGAAGCCCAGGCCCCACCCGGGATTTCCCCGGAAGCCGCCGACTGTGGCCACAGCTCCGCGCCGCTGCTCACTGGGGCTAAAGAAAGACTGGGCTGGGCGCCAGGTCTGACGCTGGTGTCCTTGGCTCATACCTTGGACTTCACTGCAGGGCCTGCAAGAGAGTTCTGAGTGCCCTGGCTCTGACATCCCTGGGCCTAAGAGGCAGCCGAGGGTGTGCCGGCTCTGCACCCTTGGCCTCGCTCTCCCTTTTGGAGACCAGACATGGCCATCCATTTAGCAGACATTTTCCTGAGCACCTACTATGTGTCTAGCCCTGGGCCGGCCTCGGGGGATTCAAAGTTGAGTCCCTCCCAGTCCCTGCTCTCAGAATCCACGGCTTGGATGGAATCTGACCGGGAGTCTAATTAAATAACGCTGTGCTGGCTCTGGGGAAGGCGCAGACACCCACTGGGGTGGGATGGAGACTGGGATGTGAAGCGGGGTCTTGAAGGACCCAGCATTCCGACTCGGCAAAGGCTGTGAGTTGAGAAGCACAGGTCTGGGGAACAAGCCGATGAGTGTGAGGAGACAGTAGGAGGCAGGATCATGAGGGGCCTTGTGGGCCGGATAAAGGGTTTCATTATCGCTTGGCCTGCGGGTCCTGGGGAGCTACAGACAGTTACGGAGTGAGATGTGACTTAGGGAGGCTCACTGAGACCCAGGCTACTGAAAGGATGAGTCCGCCCTCTCTTGCGTTGTCTTGAATCTGTCACCTTTGGCTCACATTCCTGCTTGACTCAGCCTTCCTGACCTACCTCATCCTCCTTCTTAAGCCAAAGGCACAGAGACAAGTCACTGTCCCCAGTCTGCAGTCACCTTGGATTCTGGAAAGAACAAAGCCTCACAGGACAGCCCCTCCCCCACGTGAGGGCAACTGTTCCTGAGGTGAGTCTGTAACCCCGGGAGCGGGAGTGACCCTCTCCTGAGAACCTGCCTGTCCCCTTACGCAACGGGACTTCTTTTGGACCATTCTGCAGGGCCGCCTGTTCAAGTATGCGTACCTCTCGCTATCTGCCCCAATTCTTCCAATATTTAAGCTTAAAATGCATGGTGGCTCATGCCTGTAATACCAGCCCTTGGGAGGCTGAGGCAGGAGGATTAGGAATTCAAGGCCACCATTGGCTACATGAGACCCTGGCTAAAAAATAAACAAATAAACAAACAAACAAACAAATAAATAAATAAGGGGGCTGGAGAGATGGCTCAGAGGTTAGGAACACCGACTGCTCTTCCAGAGGTCCTGAGTTCAATTCCCAGCAACCACATGGCGGCTCACAACCATCTGTAATGAGATCTGGCGCCCTCTTCTGTATACATAATAAATAAATAAATCTTTAAAAAATATATAAATAAATAAATAAATAAAATAAAATAAAAATAAAAATTAATGCAAGCTGGGCAGTGGTGGCAAGACCTTTAATCCCAGCACCCAGCATGCAGAAGCAGGCAGATCTCTGTGAGTTCAAAGCCAGCCTGGTTTACAGAGCAAGTTCCAGGACAGCCTGGACTACACAGAGAAACCCTGTCTCAAAAAATAAATATATATCTAAAACATTGACCGAGCCAGGCAGTGGTGGCGCACGCCTTGAATCCCAGCACTCGGGAGGCAGAGGCGGGTGGATCTCTGTGAGTTTGAGGCCAGCTTGGTCTACAAAGTGAGTTCCAGGAAAGGTGCAAAACTACACAGAGAAACCCTGTCTCGAAAAGCCAAAAAAATAAAAAATATATAAATAAAACATTGACAGCTAATACAGCAACAACTGCCCCCTCCTCAAAAACCAACACACATTAGCACCCTAAAAAAAGACTTGGGGTTGCTGGATCCCTTTATCTGTTCCCCTTCCCAGTGTGGCCACATTGACTAAATCTGTGTGTTTTACCATTACCCTCTTAGCCTCTTTTGAGAGAGTCTCATGCAGCGCAGCCTGGCCTCGAACTTGCTATGCCTTAAACCTCTGATCTTCCTGTTCCTGCTTCTTAAATACTGGGATTACAGGCCTGTGACATCATTCCTGGTCTATGCCTTGTTGGGGATTGACCGCAGGCCTTTGTCCATGCTAAGCAAGCAGCATTCTACCCCCTACTTATCTCTTTAATTGATATAGAGGCCAAGCCCCGCCTGTCGGCTGCCAGAGCTCCCTCTAATACCCTAAAATCTCTGGTTAGTTAGAGGGGTTCTCAGTTCACACTGGGGAATCGGATGGGGAGGGCATGGAGAGTATAGGGAGTCCATGTTGCCATTCCCCTTTTGAAACTGTCCTCTTGGAAGAGGAATGCAGATGTGGAATCATGAGTCAGCCACATCTGGAGGCCAGGCCAGGATTCTGCCTTGCCCTCCCAGGCTCAATCTCTAGCTCCTTCTTCCAGACGAGGAAAGCGCACCCAGGATGGGAGGAGAGAGATGCTGTCAGATCTGGAGTGAGGCTGGGCTGCCTATCAGTCCCCAGCCCCGCCTTCAGGCAGCTACCAGGAAAACTAACCACAGAAGCTTCAATCTTTCCTGTGGGGCCTCCCCAGCCTTCAGTCACAGAGAGGGACTGTCAGGGCCCCACCCAGGTCCTTGACTCTTTCCGTGTGTGCCCCTCTGCCACATCAGGAACTGGGCACATCAGGCAGAATTCCAGGTAGAGGACCAGAGATGAGGCAGGCAATTGCCAGGCCAACCCAGGTGCTGGGAACACAGATCTCTAGGAGCTGTCCCTGCCAGGTCATGACTGGATAGGAAGACCTGCACCAGGAAGTGAGTGGGGAGGACCCTTCTAGCCAGTCTGCACAGGCAGGCCATGGAGGAACATGGTATGAGGATCAGACTCCTAACTGGGAGCTGGGGACTCAGCTTCTGCTTCTAGCCTGCATATTCAGTGTCTCTATTTGTAACTGTGCCTGAAGTCCTGCTTTCCTGCCTGAGGGTAATGTAGGGCAGGACTCAGGTCATAGGTGACCTTTTTTTAAAAAAAATGGAGCTCATGGGGGTTTTGAGACCATCTCACTCTGTAGCCCAGGCTGACCTGGAATTTACTATGTAACCCAGGCTGGTCTGGAACTTGAAGCAGTCCTGCCCAGGATAACAGGTGTGAGTCATTATGCCTAGCTGAGTTTAGGTTTTATAGTCCCCTTGTCCCCTCTTCCAAGGTTACCTTCCTCGCCCACCTATGTTGTAGTGTGGATTTGCCAGATGCTAGTATCCCCTGTAACAGGCACTATGGTTTTTAAGGCAGGGCGGACAGAGATAAAGTCCCTTCTGTGCCCTCCCTGAAGTCCTCAGGGCCTCGTGGGGGTGGCACCCACTTATCTGTCGGGCCTAATGCCCGGCGCCTTGCTTTCATAGCCTATCTCATCTGAGCATATCATCTCACCCTAGTGTCTGCCCACCTGGTGAACTTGTGCCCAGGGAACAGCAGCTGTGGCCAGATCCCAAGCAGAGGCAGGAGGAGCAGGGGAAAGATGGATCTGGGGGCTGCAGCCCAGGGCCTTGGCTGTTCTGAATAACGTTCAGACCCTGGAAAGTAGCAATGATGTCAATCATTCCTGGCTGAGTTGAGGGTTGCAGGTATTGAGGATATGTTTTCTCCCTCCTCCTTCCCCAAGGCCAAAGCCCGGCCCTGGAGATTCTCCCTCAGATCAAGTCCCGCAGCTGCCAGCAGAGCCCTCTGGAATTCTGTCCTGCAGCTTAGCCCTTGGATCTGGCCTTAGCTTGTCCATACAGGTCCCAGCCAGCAAGGCCCTTCCCGGCCCTCCAGCTCCTCCCCAGCCCTGACGCGGTCTGTACCGCCTTCAGCCAGCACTGGCAGCGAGCCATGGAGCACATGGGTACCATCCACGGCACCCACCAAGCTGGCTCCCACATGGAGTCCTTGAAGACAGAGCAGGGAGGGACCCCAGAGAGCCATGCCTGACCTGCTCCCCCACATCTTATATTGCAGGTTAAGGATGTGGAAACTAGAGGGAGGGCGCCTGGCTGTGCTCTCACAGGGAGCTGGAGCTGAGGAAAACAGCGTGGGCCCAGGGACCTCAAAAACGGCTTCATGAAGGGCAGAAGGGTGTGTGGGGGGGTGCCTCCAACTCCTGACACCCTCTGCTAGCTTGTGCTGGTACCCTCCCCCACTGCACCTCCTTGGGGCCGCCCCCTGTGCCAGCTTTCCAGGCAGCCACCTTCTCATCCAGTTTGGTCCCCATCTGGGGTCGGTCCTCTTCTGCTCAGAAGCCCCAGCCTCCAGGGCTCAGGCCTAAGCTTTAGCGTATTACTCCGAAATCATTGTATTTCAATTTTCTCTTGGCTGTGACAAAGCTATCCAACAAAAGCAATGTGAGGGGCTTGTTTTGGCTTATGGTTGAAGTTACCATCCATCCTATCAAGAAAGGCATAGTGGGAGGAGTGGGAGGCAGCTGGTCACGTTGTGTCTGCACTCGGGGAGAGAGAGATGAATGCTGGTATTCACCTCACTTTCTCCTTTTTTCCCGAGCCCCTAGGATGGTGCTACTCACATTCAGGATGGGACTTGCTTCGTCAGTTAAGACTTCTCTTGAAACATCCTCACAGGCACGCCCTGTCGTCTCGATGTGTCGCCTAGGTGCTTTTAAGTCCAGTCAAGTGGACAGTGAAAAGGAACCACCACAATCCATTTCTCGTCAACCTGATACTCAAATGCTCCACTTCAATACACAACACACTTCACCTCTGGCCCCAAAGTCTCAAATTTATCTCTTATCACAAAAGACATTTAATCCATCTCTGGAAGTCCAAACAGTTCTAACACTGTTTGAAAAAAGCCCCAAGTCCAAAATCTCTCCTGAGACTCAAGACAACGTTAGCCATGAACTCTTAGAAAAACTAAAAAGCAAGTTGCTTCCAGTATACAGTGGTAAACATTCCCATCCCCACAGGGAAGGATGGGATCAGATACAAACAAGCCTGAAACCCATTGATACTGACCCTGAAGCTTCCTGCCAGGTATCTGGCAAACCCCGGCCTCTAACACCCTCCAGCAGCCCCACCCACTCCAATTCTGCGGCCTGCAGCTTTTCTCAGCTGGTTAACTCAGCCTCAATCTCATAGCTTCAAGTAATAATGGCCTCGTAGGGCCTCCCGACTGGGACTCCAACCCTGCTGCTACACATTGCCTGGCCTGGCAGTTTCCTGGAACCTCCATGACCTGGAGACTTGCAGTTTGTGTGCTTGAAAAACTAGCCCCTTGCGGATATGCTGCCTAGTTCTGCTGACAGCTTGATGCATGGTCTGGGCCCCTTGGCCACAGGCGTATTGTGTTCTGTGTGCCCTGGTGGTGTTTGAGCAGGGGATCCTCCAGCAGTCTCAGTTGGACCGCTTTCAAGACTGCATTTTTTTTTTTTCTTTTTGGTTGTCCTGAAACTCCCTCTGTAGACCAGGTTGGCCTCAAACTCAGAAATCTGCCTGCCCCTCTGTCTCCTGAGTGTTGGGACTAAAAGTGTGGGCCACCACCACCTGGTTCAAGACTTCATTTTCACAAGGCGAGTGTCCTTCAGAGGTTGCAGTCTCGATCCCAAGGGATCTTTCCTCTTGTCTCAGGCATAGTACTGTTTCTCTGTCATGGCACTAACTTCCTGAACCATTATAACTGTTTTCTTTCTACCCAGCTTCTCTGCAACCTTCTGCTCTTACTCACTTGAGATCTAAGAACGGTGAGCCACAACCATGCCACAGCTTGGATGTTGAGCTGTATTGAAAATTCTGAACAAACTAGTCCATTGCTTTTGAGTACAGCCTCATACAACTTTTCAGGACATATGGCTAGGTTCTTGGCTAGACTAGAACACCTATGGCCTTTAGTCCAGTTCCTGACGGAGTCCACATCCCCCTCTGAAACCTTGTGAGCACAGTATTTACTATTCACCTTTCTCTTTGTATTTTGGCCTTCAAAGGACCAGAATGGCCCATTAAGCTCTGCTTAGAGCATCTGAGATTCTTAGCCAGCAGCTCCAGACTTTTCAACATTCCTTTCATAAACCAGCTCAGAAGGTCCATGAACCACATGCACAGGCTTCTCACAACGGTAGCCCCACTTCCAACAGCAGTTTCCTGTGCTGATTCTAGTTGCTGTGAGTACACAGTAAGTAACAAAGGGAGAGGAGGGTGATGTTTGAGGGGAAACGGCCCATCCTGGTGAGGAAGACATGGCGGCAGGTGTGAGGCAGCTGGCTACAGTGTTTGCCGTCAGCAGGCAGACAGAGGTGAATGCTGGGCTCGGCTTTCTCTTTCTCCTTCGTCAGTCTGGGTCCCCAACCTGTGGAATGATGTTTCCCACATTCAGGGTTGGTTTTCCTTTGGTGAAACCTCAGCATAGATAGGCATAGAGATCCTCCAAGGTGTGTCTTCTTCCAAGCACCCACATGGTGGCTCACAGCTGCCTGTAACTCCAGTTCCAGAGAGTCCAATACCTTTTCCACACCTCCATGGGTACCAGGCATACACATCATGCACACACACACACACACATACACACACATGCACGCGTGCGCGCAAGCAAAATGCTTACAAACTTGAAACTTTTTTTTTTGAGACAAAGTTTCTCTGTGTAGTCCTGGAACTCCCTCTGTAGGCCTTGAACTCACAGATCCACCTGCCTCTGACTCAAGTGCTGGGATTAAAGGGATGCACCACCACTGCCCAGCACTTAAGTCGTTTTAAAAAAGCAGCTGGGCGGTGGTGGCACACGCCTTTAATCCCAGCACTCGGGAGGCAGAGGCAGGTGGATCTCTGTGAGTTCGAGGCCAGCCTGGTCTCCAAAGCGAGTACCAGGAAAGGTGCAAAGCTACACAGAGAAACCCTGTCTCGAAAAACGAAAAAAAAAAAAAAAAAAAAAAGCAAAATTACTGCAATGCGAAATTAATGTTTACTGTAGTCAAACTCAATAGAATATTAACTGTACTCAAACCTTCCATTACTTTTGAAAATGACATTGTGGCTTTTCTTCCTCTGAATTTCCAAGTATTCCTAGGGATGAGTCAGCCCATTGGTTCCTGAGGGCCAAGGAGTATCTTTTCTTTCTCCCCTAAACAGTATGTAAACAAAAGTGTAGAGGAGTTCTTATTTCCCTCACATGCTGTGCCTTCATGTCTTTTAAATCACTCTCCTGTTGGGGCTTCATTTAGCTTCAAAGATGTTATTATTGTTTTTTTCTTTCTAATATGTATGTGTGTCTGTCAGAGGCCAGAACAGAGGGTCAGATCCGGTGCAGCTGGAGTTACGGGTAGTTTTGAGCTGCTAATCTGAGTCCAAGAAGAGTGTGCATTTTTTTTTGTTTTGGTTTTTCGAGACAGGGTTTCTCTGTGTAGCTTTGCGCCTGTCCTGGATCTCGCTCTGTAGATCAGGCTGGCCTCGAACTCACAGAGATCCGCCTGGCTCTGCCTCCCGAGTGCTGGGATTAAAGGCGTGCGCCACCACCGCCCGGCGAGTGTGCATTCTTAACTGGGCTCTCCCTCCAGCTGTGGTTTTCTTGTGTTTTTGAGACAAGGTCCTGCACTTTGCATGAAGGCTGAAGCTCTAAATCACTGCACAGTGCCCTGAGGAATGCTGGTGTCATATGCGGCGTGTGAAATGCATCATCCATGGGAGATGGAGAAGCAAATGGATTGTGGATTCATAGTGTCTGTTCTGATAAACTGAACAGGGACAGGGAGTCAGGAATGAGTCATCCTTCAAAGAAATTGCAGTCTTGACAGATTTTCTGGAGTACATAATGCTATATTATCTAAAAGTTAAGGAAGGGGTTGGCAAGATGGCCTGAGGGTGGGGACCTCATCCAGTACCCTCCTGTTCCTATACTCTCCGGAGGGGGCTACAGCCTTCTGGGCAAATGTCTATCTCTAGTTCAAAGCAAAGATCAGCTGTTCGCCCTGGTCCGAGTCCACATCACATTTCTTCTTTCTTTATGGTGCTGGTACCTGAGGCACAGGAGGCTCCTGATCTACCTGAGCCCCCTCCCAGCCCAGCCCTCAGCATCACATACCTGCTATTTCCTAAGAGCAGTGCAGGCACCTGGCTATATGTCTACCTGTCCCTGTGGGTCACGTGTGTGGCGGCCAGAGACCTTCAAGTGTTTACCCCTCCAGCAACATCCACTTCGTTTTTTTTTTTTTTTTTTGTTTTTGTTTTTTTGGTTTTTCGAGACAGGGTTTCTCTGTGTAGCTTTGCGCCTTTCCTGGAACTCACTTGGTAGTCTAGGCTGGCCTCGAACTCACAGAGATCCACCTGGCTCTGCCTCCCGAGTGCTGGGATTAAAGGCGTGCGCCACCACCGCCCGGCCCCACTTCGTTTTTGAGTCCACGGATCCACCTGTCTCCACCTCCCCTGGCATTTTCATGTGGGTTCTGGGGCTCAAACTCTGGCCCTTGTGCTTATAAAGTGGGCATTTTACCAACTGAACTGACTCCCCTGCCCCAACACTGGCTTTTCAAAGGACTGAACTAAACTGACACACAAGGTCTGAGTTGCTAGAAGTTCAGGAGTCAAAGCGCATCTGTGCTGGGAACACAGAAGGGGAGCCATCATTTCTTGCGGCGGGGGGGTGGGTGGGGGGGGGTGTTGGTACTTCAGGGAGGCAGGCTCAGGGAGGACTCCCCACTCCCCACTGCAGACTGGGGTGCAGACACTCCCACTCACATTTTATTAAGTTCAAGGACTGGTTACAACAGGGGTGGAGGTGGCGGGAGGTCCCGCCCTGCCCCCACCCTCACTGGCACACGATAAATAAATAAACAAATAAATAAATAGCTGGGGATGGGCAGCTGGAGGTGGTACAGCCAACACTGACTTCAGGGGGTGGGGCACAAGGGCCCCCTTCCAAGCTGTGGCAACCATCAATACTGGACGGTACTACGGTGGGAGCCTCTCCATTCTACCCAGGGCCAGGGGGGCCCACTGATCAGTCCCTGGAGGCGGCTGACTTTCAAGTTGGTGTTTTTGAGATGAGGTCTCACCCTGCAACTCAGGTCACCAAACTCAGAGCATTCCTCCTGCCTCAGCCTCCCAAGTGCTGTAAGTACAGGCAAATGTCTATGTACCCTGCCCTGCTAAAACCTGGACCCTTGGCTGATCCAGTCAGGCCGGGATTGTCAAAGAGCCACTGTGCCTTGGACTTGTAGATTGTTCTATTTGGGAAATAAGAGGCCAGTGGATCGTTACTGTCCTCACGGACATCCAGAGGTCAATGTCACTTAGCTTTAGACTGGTGCTCTGGGGCTCCAGGATATGCAAGGTGTTCTTTAAGCTCTTCCTTGGTCCACTAAGGGCCCACTGTGAGACACCAACATACCAGTCACTACCGGCAGTTTGCCTTCCATAGGCCTGTTAAGGCCAAGAATGGCTGGAGCTCCCTAGACTTCTGATTGGTCAACAGGGACCCCAAAACAGAGAACTAGAGGGCCCAGAGAAAGGGAGGAGCTTAAGTACTCAGGGATGGAGAAAATGTTCATTTGGCTTCAGGGCCCCTATATAGTTCCAGAAGGGGAGGTGATGGGGCAGAAAGAAAGGCCACCTGGTGGGGTCAGGCCAGGGTGAACCTTCAAGATGTAGGGGGAAGCTTCTGAACAGCAGAGTGTCCAGCCACTGCTGGGAGGAGTATGAGGGCCCACAAGCCTTCCTGGATCTCAGCTTCCCTTCACTGGGGTACAGACACCCGTGCCAGGGAGCTCCTGGTGCTGAGTGTGACTCACGGCCTGTAGCCTCCATCTATGGGATCAGGGAACAGGGGAGGTGGGCTCAGTCCTCCAGCCCCTCCATCAAGTCCGCAATGCTCTCCACATAGTAGTGAGGCACGAGGTCATGCTGACCAGCTGCCAGGTAAGCCTGGGCTTCTTCGAGGCGTGAGACCCCTGTGAGTGTGAGTACGGTGGTCATGCCACAGCGGTGGCCGAAGAGGATGTCGGTCTCCAGACGGTCACCCACCATCAGGGTGCGGGCGGGGTCCACGCTGAAGTCTTCGGTGATGCACTGGAACATGTAGGGGCTGGGTTTGCCCACCACCAGGGCCTGGCGTCCTGAGGCTGTCTCCACTGCGGCAGCCAGGCTTCCAGTACCTGTGGGGAGGGAACACTTGGTCAGCAGGAGGGCGGTGGCTGGGCACGATCTAAAGGCCGGGCACTGCCTGTGCCAGACACCTGAATGCAGAATCCATCACCACTGCTCTGGGCACACTGAGTGTGTAGTTTCTCCATCTAACACGAAGGTAGCGACCATGGTCCCTCCTGTGTGTGTGAACAGGCCTATGCCATCAGTTCTGCCTGGCAGCTGTGTGTTTGGGGCAAGCCCTGCAGCCTCTCTGGCTTTCTCTGAACTGTGGTAAGATGGGGACCAAGTAACACTTCCCCTGAAGGGATGCTGTGGGCCTCACGGGGAGGCAGGCACTTTGCAAACGGAAGAGCATTTAGACAGTGGTGGTTCCTAATCTAAGAAGCCACGCTCCTGGCATGGAAAGTTGGCACACGTGCTGCCTGGAATGTAGCAAGGCACAGAAATGTTCACACCTCTGACCCAGTCAGCCTTGCAGGGAAAAACAATCCCCTAGAGAAAATTCCAGCTGGAGACAAAAAGCAACATGCTCGAAGATGTCTGGGACCGCAGTGACCATGGGAAGTAACCAAAGCTGGGGACGGAGCCCAGGAGCCCGACAACGGGAGGTCTGTTTAGAAAAGGGCAGTCCTGCCCCCCGGCCAGCACCATTCTGCTGGCACAGTGAGTCTGCGATTCCTGC